AGCTTCAGTGCTGCTCACCAGCAGAGACATTCAGAGCAATTCCAAAAGATCTGGAAAACGTGAAATAATTAGGATGTAAACCCAAAGAGTGTTGGAAAATTACTATAAGTGGAGACGGCATTAAAGGTGAACATGCAAGGAAAGTAGATATTTTTTCTAGGATCATTTGCATTTAAAACTGGAGTGTGTGTCTGTTTGGGCAATCACTGGCCTCTTCAGGCAGAGAGATATGAGACAGAGGCTGAAAGATAGCAGGAAAAAAAGGTTCTTAAATTTGCATTAGAGGAACTTTTGGTACTCGAGAGTGTATCCAAATGCAGATATGAATGTGGTCTTCAGAGGAGTCAGTAAAAGGAAAAGGCAAAGGGAGCACAGGAAGGAGCTGCACCTGCAGAGGAGGTCTTCAGCTCTCAAGCCACCCGCTGTGTGGAAAGGGGGAGACAGACGGAGGAAGAGGAGGAGGGGGATGCAGGAGAGTGAAGGAGGCTGCAGCAGCTGCCTGGTTCAGAGGGAGAGAGAGGGAGCGTACTGGAAGTCAGAGATGGGAAAGGAAAGAAAGAAAAGCAATGGAGAGCATGAGTGCAACCTCTTTTTTTCCCAAAGGCCCCCTGCTGGGTCACCCATTTTTCCTCCCACACTTTGCCTGAAACCACAAAAAAAAAGGAACAAAAATCCCCAGTTCATAGTTTCTGTTTGAAATCATATGTAAATAAGGCGCTCTGATAATGAAGCGCCAGAGGAGGAAATTCCACTAATTACTTTACAGAGACTTGACAGGGAGCAGGAGGCGAACGTACTTGACGTGCTCCATCTCATGAAAAGGACAGAAAGGAGAGGAAAAGATCTGATGGCAAGACGTCAGGTTTCCTTTTTAAAGTCAATGCAAGTCTTTCATTTGGCTTTTCACTCCGACTATTCGCAGCCTCCCTGGGACAAAAGTCACTTGGTTAGTTTGGAGAAATGGATGAGCTGAAAAGGAATCAGGGTGATTCACCATTCAAACGACGGCTTCGCTTCATATTAGAGACGATACAGATGAATCTAAAGTGTTAGAAGGGGTTTGGTTCTCAGTGACTGAAATGTCATGGGCAAGTTTAATGTGATAAGATGTTTGATTTTGAACTTGAAGCTAATAGAAATGGAGTGCAGAAGAAAAGGATGATTATGAAAGATCAAAAAGTGAATAAAAGTATCTTCTAAATTTGTTTAAAAGCATTAAAATCAATAGATGGATTAAAAGTGGAGCAAAGACATCAAGTACAGACTGTCAACCTATCCTTGATTTACTGGCAATCTGAAGACAGAAAGCCTAACAGGACTTCAGGGAGAGAATACTGGACTTGTTATGCATGTGTAGGTGGACTTGTGTAGAAAAGCAGAGCCTCAGTGTCACCATCATAAACAAAACAAGCCTCTTTTATTGCGTTCCATGCAGGCCTCACTAAATCAGGCCCATAAGTGTGTATAATACCTCAGTGTCTGTTTGTTCCCCTTCAGATAAATAGGTGCTGTTTAAATAACACTGTTGGAAGCACTGTCTTACCGGGGCAGACAGAGGGTCTGCAAATAAAAGATGAATTAGCTAGGTGGATGTTTGCGTCCCAATTCTTCCAGGTGGATTTAGCCCCAACTTTGGAGGATATAGTGATTAACAGAAGGAAAAACTAAATATGTGATCTCTCACTGCAGCTCGCTGGTTTACAAACAGTTTCTTCCTGTGGAGAGTTTAAGACATCTGGGCTGGTGTTTGAGTTTTTTTTTCTTAACAAATTGGTCACCATTTAGTAACTTTCCACAGGGAAGCTTAATTTAGGATTTTTTTCTTTATTTAAGGGGTTTTTACATTAGATAAATGGTTCCTAGAACCATAAATGACACAATTAGAGACTGTGCTACAATATTCCAACCTCTAGCTCAGTGGCAAGTTCTACAACAAATTTACCAGTGTGGGGCCAGTTTTTTGTTTTGTTTTTCACTAAATAAAATGTTTCAATATATATTTATTTATTTAACAGTTCAAGAAAATTTCCATGTAAATATTGCATAGTCTGATGGCTACTTTACATCTGTATCTGGTAAGTCAATAAGAAAAAGCAAGAAATTAACAAACAATCAGACACAAGAGAGTAATATATCAATTAGTTAATAAAGAAAGAAAGAAAAGAAAAAAACTAATAAAATAAAAACAGTGGACAATAGAATTAAAGACAGTGGAAGATTACACTGCACAGGATAATGATATCTGACATTAGTGGTCACAGATCTGGTTCGCTTTAAGCCTTCTTTTACAATTTGTTGTAAATGAATTGAATGCAGTAGGCGCTCTTATAGCAGCTGGGATGTTGTCTGAAATTGCTGCACCCTGGACTGATAACAGTTGTTGACTAAATGGTTTTTTGGTTCACTTATTATAAATTAATGATACAAAAAACAGGACAATAGTTTCTTGTTTAGAATATTAAGTGAACCAAAGAGACATTTACTGCTCTGGAATCCTCAGATAAAGCAAACTGTGATCATATCTCAATGTGCATGAAGCTAAAAATGTAACAAGTTAATTTTTAAATCATCATCAAAATAAAACTGTAAAGATGAAAATTTAAAAAACTATCAGAATCACCTTTGATTTCTGTGCCAGCGCATCTCGGTATTAGCTTATTAGAAGTGCAGCAAGTATCATGTGTTAAATACAGAGGCCAACATCGGCCCCTGCCTAGAACCACCCATGCTCGAGATATCTTTTTAAAAAATCCAGCCTGTTAATTTTTGCCAATCTTCCACTTTGAACCAAAATAAAAGAAAATACAACTTAAAAAAAACTTAATGTTAGAGACACAGAGCATTCTTCTGTCAGTCCATCCATCCACGAAACTAAAACACCTAACTTTTTTCACCGTCATGTTGTCTCCTGAAATTCTCTCTCGAGTCCTGAATGAAGTACAGATGTGTGAAGCCTTCTTCTTGCCTGCTTGACTGTAGATATTTTGACTTCAGATATTAAAAGAACCAAGACAGAACCGATTTCTGGTAATTTCCTGCCTTTTGATGACCGACTCAGTTCTGTATGGTGGCCCAGAGGTGCAAACACACCGCAAATGCATAAATGTGCGTCAAATAGAAAAAGTGTCCAAACACACAAAAAAAGTGTCCAAACACAAAAATAGACTTAAACAACCACACAAAACACATACCAAGGAAAAAATTCTGCAGTCACAGAAAATTGAGAGCAACAAACTGAAACCCAAATACAAAGTGTGCTGCAAACAAATAAATGATGCTAACGCACACAAACACACAAAAAAACACATGGGAAGTAAAAATGCAGCAAGTACTAAAAACAAACAACTAAAAGCTAAGTAAAGCTGCTAGTTAATCGTGGGTAACAGAGGGGCTCGAATCTTTAGTAAGGATCATCAGGATGCTAAGAGATTAAGGGTTTAATTTAATAAAGGTGTCCTTTCTTCCAGTGGCGGCTGGCTAATAGAGGGCGCTAGGGCGTCGCCCCACCAGCCCATGATCTTGATTAAGACATGAAAAAACAAATTACAATTAAATTATAAATCAAAATATATATTTGTAAATATATTATTATATATTTCTTAGATGTGCAAGATAAATATTTAATCTTTAATGACGAGTAAAGCTTCATTTCATTTTTCATTGGATTGATGTATTTCTGCCCTAGGGAGGAAAAATGTTTGCCCTCATTAGAAGTTGTACATGCGCAGTGGCTCCTCTGCAATACAGAAGTATATGGATAAGGACAGGTAGGACTGATTTAAAGCACTTTTTAGGAAAGAGAAAGAAGCATCAACACTCTGGGATTAACATGGAAAATAATATAATATAGTGTACTTTTTCTACATGTTTGTTAATTTGCATAGTTGCTTTTAACTAAACCCATTCTCAGAAAATAAATAGTTTTTATATATTAAAAATATATTGCTGACTCATAGCTTCGTCATAATTAAACTGGTACATAATTTTTTTTAGGATTGTGATACAATATAGGACCATGCAAAACACAGCTTTGCCTTGACAAAGCCTCAGAAGGGCAAGATTTATGTACAGAAAGTAAACCCGTACTTTAAATTATGTTTTGTTTTATAAAGTGTTTTTTCATAATGTTTTTTGTTGTTGGAATTCATATAAATATACTGGTGTAATAACTTAGTATAAGTCTATTTTTAATTCATAGCCCCCTGGAGAAAACTCCACTGGCTGGCACTGCTTTCTTCCCTCCAAATTTGCCCCGGTCAGCATCCTGTTTATGTTTCCTGGTCCCATATGTGTTGATAATTGTCTCCCCCTAGTGGTTTGGAGCACTTTCATTATGTGGAGTAAGATTTCAGCTTTTCTTCAATTGCAGTTTTTTTTGCCAGTTACACCAGTTGTTCTTTGTATGTTCTGTCTGTGTTTGCGTCATTTATGTATTTTAGTGCTTAAAGCAAGTTTGCACCTTGCATCACTCCACTTTTTGTGATTTTCTTTGCATGTGTTTTTTTGTAACATTGTATGGTAGTCTCATTTATGTTCTGACAAGCCCCAATTTTCTCTTCGCACTACTTTATGTAATAGCTGCACATTTATATAATTGCAGTGTGTTTGCACCCCTCGGCCCCCTTACTTAAATGCAGGTTTAATGTATACAGTGTCTGTAAGTAAAATATTACCAAATAGCAACTATTTATTATTCAGTTTCATTCCAAAAAAAAAATGAAGCACAGTTTAAAAATAAATCTTTCACTGTGGTTTATTTTATAGAAACTGTTGATTTTGTTAAAAAAGAATAATTTTCTCTTAGTTTTCGATGTCCCTGAATAAGAGTGTTTAAAATAAACATTGGATTTTTTTTTTTTTTGCTTTTTACAGTTTGATTAAAATACTGACGTAAAATCTGATTTATTTCAAGACTAATGAAAAGTAACTGTCAGTGACGCCAATAAATGTGGAGGTTTATGTTTGTAGAGCAGGCTTTTAACTGGTCGTACTTCCTTCAGCTCCGTGGCTCTCTGCAAATTGCCCAGCTATGAGACATTGATGATGGAGATGGAGTTGCTGAAGATACACCTCTCTCCATTGGATTCGCCGATTGTCCTCTGCCACAACGATCTTCTCACAAAGAACATTATATACAACAGCCAAGAAGGTGAGAAGATTAGATGCTGGTTTGAGATAAGATGGGGTGAAAAACTGCTTAATTTTACTACTCCAAAATATTAGAGAACATTTTCTGGCATTACAAAGCACTGATCTAGATGAAAGATCATGTTTTCTGATCCCAGGACACTTTCTGCTACCGTACTTTGATCGTTTACTTTAAATAAAACACATAAGTTGTGAGGTGTTTGTCCATACAGTGAAGCTGTTCCTCAGGTTGTCCTGGTAACGGCTGCCGTCCCTTTCCTCCCCCCCATCAGGCACAGTGAAATTCATCGACTACGAGTATGCTGATTACAACTACCAGGCTTTTGATATCGGGAATCACTTCAATGAATTTGCTGGTAAGTCAGAGCAGTTTTTTCCATCCAGGTCATCAGACTCATGCGATGAGTGAATCCACTGTCCTCATTGTTTTTTTTTTTTATGATCCTGCCATCTTTGAAGATAAAACTGTCCAAAAATGTTAAAAAAACATTGGCTTTCAGGTTGTGGCAAAATTAACATACAGAATGTTGAAAGAAAAACTAATAGCAGCAGGAGTAGAAAGTAAAGCTTAAAGGAAAAATACTGATGCAATCTATTATCCTCTTTATAATCATGTAGAGTCAACAAGATTTAAAAATCATTGAAATAATAGCAGTGTTTGCTGATTTGCTAATAAGAAGTTAATAAACTTAATTAAAATATACAGAATAGTAATTGTATAAAGGTAGATTTAATCACAAAGTTATTCACACCCCTATCATATTTAAAAGAAAAGAAATCCTTTAATTTACCAACATGCTCCATTTCATTGTTTTGTTAAAGTTTTCCTGTGGTTTCATCTGAATCCTATGGAGAATGTTAGGGTGATGGCAGAGAGACCTTCCAACTCTGAAGACTTAAAGCTCATCACGGCAGAAAAACCATCAAAATACCAGTGGGAATAATCCAAAAATCTGACCTGGGCTTTCCGAGGAATGCCACTGAAGACTTTTTCATCAAAAAATAAGAGATGTAGAAATAGTTTTTGACATTTCCATTTTCATAAGAATGTATAAAAAAGATTATTGTATTTTATTTTTTATGTGTTAAAAGATACCTTTCTTATTTCTTTTCTAATACATTGTTGGTTGAAGGACTTTTTTAAATCTAAATCTGTCAGGGGAAGGATTAAATTTAAGGGAAAATAAAAAGTTAAAGTCCCTTTAATGTGATGTCAGAGGAAGTGTCATAGTTATCACTTTTCTCTGAGGGCACAGAATGAATGCAGCTCATTTCTACTGCTGATCACTGTCGGCCAGCTGAGTAAAAGCAGGCTGCTACTATTATAAAACACCAAACTTCATCTGTATTTTAATATATATCTGATCGTAAAAAAAAACAAACAGACATAGGAACTAAGACAGCTTCTTCCATTTACCTTAAGACTGCAGACTCTAAAGAAAAACCAACTCAAATCAGCTTTTAATTCTTGTTCCTGTACAAAAACGCTAAAAGAGAGATGAATTTCTGCACTTTGAACAATAATGAACTAATTTTGTAGGCATTTACTATGTACTGAAATAAAAATAATAAGAAATAGGGATTCGAAATGCTGTAATTATGTTTTTTACTAGCAGTGGATGGAAAGATTTATATGGGGTGAATTTTGTTCCAAAATTTTGGCAAAGAGCACATTTTTTTAAATTGAAATTTGAAAAAGATTACATCTAGTAATGCGACTTTGAAAAATTTATTAATTGAAAGAAGGGTTTTGAAAGAAACTCTAGAAACTATTTTGTCATATTTACTTTATGAAATCTTTTCATATTTTATTTTTTCTAATGATAATTTGATCAAAGTTCTCCTTTTCAGATTGAGTTTAATGAAATCCTTCCTTTCCCCTGGAGGGAGGAGAAAGCTGTGTTTCTATTGGTCTGCTGGACGTTAGAAACAACACTTGTACTGGTCAATAGCGAGTGTTTGTGGTGTTGGCCTAAAGTGAAGAGAATCTCATCTGAAGAACTCTATTGTAAAAGAATGCAATTGGTTAAACTTAATCTGAAAAACAAATTTAAAAAAAAACTGAGAAAATGTAAATCTAAAATACAAAAAAATTATTTGAAAAAACAAAATAAAAAAAAATGTAATAAAACTGGAGAAAACAGACACCATTTCATTGATTTATAAATTCTTCAAAGTTTAAATGCAATTTTTGTTCAAATTCCCATTTACAAATCATGTTCTTTTCTTACAACAATCACCCCCAACATTTTTGACTTTCGATGAGATCCTGCTATTTTTTTTTTTTTTCATTTTATCTCATTTTTTTTATATATAAGCCATGAAATCTTTGTCTCTGTTTCTCTCACAGTTGTCAAACTGGAGCTCAAAAAATGTGTGAAAAGGATGTAAGCATTTTTTACTGAATCTTTGAAGAGATTGCTTGAATTTGGCAACTTCTTTGAAACCTTCTGGATAGATCATTTCCTTTATGCTGAGTTATTAGGTTCGATTTAAACCAAGATTCATATTAAATCACAGAAGTAGCAATTAGTCTTACGAAATAAAAAATATTCATTGACAGTAACCTACTGTGTGTGAACATGTGTGTGTCGGACTGAAGGTGTGACTGATGTGGACTACAGCCTGTATCCCAGCCAGGAGCTGCAGAGGGACTGGCTGACGGCCTATCTGCAGAGCTACAAGCACAGCACGGGCCTCGAGGTCACAGTTACAGACGCAGAAGTCACGCGGCTCTACATTCAAGTCTGCAAATTTTCACTCGTAAGTGCCGGCTCACATTCACCATGTTTTTCTTTTTTTTTTCATCGCAGTTAAGTAGATTCTTAACTCATTCAAAGCACTTTCAGAGAAGTGACAGTTCTCGAAAATCATCTTCATTTGGCCAAAAGTTTTCTTTCCCTTTCCTTCCATTTAGCCGTCAGGGTTGGGCACATTCACAAAACGATGAAAAAACACACATTATAAGATTAGAGCTTTCATTTCAGTAACATCCAGATGTGTGCAAACCTCAGAGATGACAGAGTGGCATCACCTTACCACCGCATTCTGATCATTTATATTTCCAGATGAATACACACACAGAAGAAAACCAAACCATCCTGTTTAAGCAACCGCCGCTCAAAGTTTGATGGACTCCATCCGAGTTGATTAGAAGCTACCGCAGGGAAAAAATGAAAGACGGCAACCAGAATTATTTTTCTTATAACCACAATTTTCATTCTTTGGTGGCTCAAGTGGTGCCGAGGTACCCGTCTGAACGGGCCTCTATCGCTCCATCACAATATGCAGAATTGTCCTTGCAATTTAGGGAGAGGGCAGGTTGGTGTGAACATCCCTTGAAATAGCCTAGAAGTGATATGGAAGCATATTACTTTTTAAAATAACCCATGCTTTGGCCAAAAAAACAGAGAGGGAGAAATTAGAAGAAGGGGGGAGTTGGATGGGGCGAGAGGGGTGAAATATGTCCTGGAATGGAGTGGGAGAAGTGATAACATCTTGTTGATTGAATTCAGATTTTCTGTAACAGACTGAGGAGTTGTGTTTTTTTTTTTTGTGACTCTGGAGATGTGAGAGAAATCGTTGGCTGACACATAAGTAGCCAAGTTTCCAGCTTCTCTCATTTTGACGCCCTGTGTGTTAAAATCAACGATGCGGAGCATGCCGTATTAACATAACCCCAAAAAGTATGTTTCATGTTGATATTTGTTATTGGATGTAAAGAGACAGAAAACATTACATCTAGTGTTATTTTTACTTTTCTTCATCTATTATTTGAATTATGAAGACTTTTTGGTAACAAATTTCAACCATGCTAGATTGTTTTGTTTAAAGATTTTTCTAAGTCAGTCATTTAAAATTGCCTAGTCTGTATTTTGAATATATATATATATTTAAGAGAATAAAGTGAATTATTTAAATTGAGATGATTATGTGTGAGAAATATGAATACATTTTAAAAATGGATTCAAAGCTGGACAGGACACTTATAACTAACAATGTTTAGATAGCATGTCGCTCTAAACAAATATTGTTTTTAATCTTGATTTAAAATAACTTAGGGTTTAGGTGCATATAACAATAAAAATTAACCAAACTCTTATACTATTTGAAAATATTTGTGCAGATTTCAAATTATTTAAATGGTAAATTAACTCTAAATATTTTTTATCACGATATTCATATGTTCTTTTTTTCTATTTAAAGCCAGGATTGTAATCATGCATGTATAGCACATCTATGAAGCAAACATTGCACTTTAAATGTTGCACATACAGGTTATAAATACACCCTATTAGGTGCTAAACATGAGTCTCCCAGGTTCTTAAAAGAGGTTGTAATTCTCTCTTATCATTTTCTTATCATAGTTAGAAAAAGAACAACAAAAACGCACCAGTTTGGTGAATTGTTAAGGGCTAAAAATGGATGCTGTACCACATACAGAAAATTGGAAACCAAGGTTTAAATTATGGAGAGTTCATTCTATATTTATTAATAATTACAAAGTGAACTTATTCTCTTTTTTAGATATATTTATCCTTCTACAAATGACATTGTATTATTTTATAAATTTGAACTGTATTTTTTTATTATTTAATGGTTTATTTAACAGTATAATTATAAATCTAATATTTCAATTGCAGGACATAGATAGATAAATAAACATTGAAATATCTACTTGTTTCAAGCGACATTCATGTTTACATATTTCATTACACACTTCCTCCACAACTATCTTGACCCCCTACTTGGTGTCTTGTGATCCCACTGGGGGTCTTGACCCCTGCTGTAGAGTGCTGTGAAAAAAAATTAAAATTAAATTAATTTTTTTATTTTTACTTGTTAAAAAAAAAAAAAAAAGGACGGAATAAATGCTATAAAAATTCTATAAAAAATAATTTTTAAAAAGTACTCATTCCTCGCAGAACTTTTTAATCTCATTTTATCGCATTACAGGCAAAGAGCTAAATGGATTTTATGAAAAAGATCAAGACCAAGTAGAGGAAATAGGGATTTTACAGTTTTGGTCTGATAACCTGAAAATATAAACTAGGAAACCCTATCAAAATTTTAATTCTTAAAAATAAATCATAGACTATGCACCATTTTGAGCCTTTTAAGCATGGGGCTCCTAAAATTGGGACCAAGAACCCCTGGATGGGTCATGAGATAGTTTTCACAAAATGTGTAATTTAAAAATTAGTAGTATTCTTCAGATAAGGCATTAAATTGTAAATTCTCCAAAAATATAGTTAGATACATTTGGAATGATAAATACACTTTTTAATAAAAAAAAAAAAAAAAAATTATTAAACAATTTATGAAATCATGTCACTTTATATTTGTATAAATGTGGAGTAAAGTGATTATTTGCATTTTCAGGGGGCCACCAGTCAGCTGCATTGGTATCTATGGGCTCAAATGTTTGGGAAATAAAATTGGTTGATTGATGTACCCTTATCTTTGCATTTTGCAGGTTTAAGGGGTATGAAAACCTTTATTAGTTACTGCATGCAGCCAATATTTGAAAAATCTGGTAAATATCTCTTTCATCTGAACTTTTGTTTAGTTTTTTTCTACTCTGTTTATAACAGGACTGAAAACTAATAAGTATGAATACTTAAATCATTGCTTGGAATAAGAAGAGGAATCTGTATTCACTCATTAGCAAATGATGATTTTGATGATCTGGTGAGAGAAGCTGTGTGGCCGTTTGCCAGCCGCGTAAAAAACCCTGAACCGTCTCTTTCCCATCTTCAGCTCCAGCTGAATGCTGCCAAGACGCAGTGGGCTCCTTGCAGATGGTTCTCTTCCTCCACAGGGATCCCCCGCGTCGCCGCAGCTAAAGCTCGTGGCTATGTGATGTCGCTTTTTCCGCATGTCTTTCTCTTGCCCCCTCCCCATTGCCTCCCCACCACCGACGATCTCTGCTCAGCGTTAGATTAATGCTCCTCCTAATGAAGAGCAGTTACTAATCATAGAGGAAGCGCTCAGTCTTTTTCCCAACTAAGGATGGAGATTAGAGACGAAGATCTGCCAGGTTTGGCGGGGAAAGCCAAGGGAAACCACACAATGCTCCACAAGTATTTCATTCCACCCTTTATTTGATTATCAAATAAAAATGTGATTATATCACTGGGCCACAGAACAGAGGCCTGTCTGGATCTTATTAGGATATGCTATTAGTGGCCTTGCCATGAAGATTTACAATAAGGGTGGAGAACAACAGAAATTTATGGAGGCATGGAAGTCCGCAAGCCTAAGTGTGCAAGGTCATTAAGGAGGGAACCATTCAATACAGAGGTTTGTCATTCTGAGTGAGCGGCGTGCAGCCTGCATGCAGCGACAGCAGTTTCTGAAGCAGTTCAACCCGACAACTGGAGGTCGCAAAGTGTGTTTTTACAATCTTGCACGCTGGCATGAGAAAAATTAAACCAAACATTCACACACCCTTTACTGTAGTTCCTTAAAGTAAATTTAGTATCTCCACATGCATTTACCAGATTGACAGAGTTAAAATATGTGATGCCCTTGTGGTTAATGCATCGCACTTGTGATCTGAGAAGGTTGCAAGTAGCCGGTTTGATCCCCACAGCTTGCACCATGGATCCCTGAGCAAGACCACACACTGCTCTCTGGGCACCGCACATTAGCAGTCCACTGCTCCCCAAGGGGATGGGTTAAATGCAGAGGTCAAATTCTCCATTGTGAGATTAATAAAGTCCAATTTTATATATATATATATAAATATGTGACCTTTTGCTGCCTAACCGGATCAGGTCTGCATCTTTTCTTTAAAAGCTAATGAAGTCTTTGCAGAGGCTTTAAAGATGCATTACATTATCTACAGTCAGTGGTGGATGTAGAAAGTTTCATAAAAAAGGCACAAAATATCCTTTTCATTAAAATACATAATGTTTCAAATCAAGCATAAAACCCTCGCTTGACATTTTGCCAAAAAGCTTGCCTGTGACAGCAATTCGCATGAGAGGTAAAAAGCATCAAGTCTGCTGGTTGTTGCTTTCACCTCAACATGGCAGACCTGGATATTACTAAGCCAGATGCAGGGCTTTTTTTTTTCTCTGGAACGTCGAACAAGAGCCACCAGCAGCGTCCCTGTTGTTTCTTCAATTTATGCACAATACAAACACTCACTCCGGAAGCGCTCATTTAATAAGGTTGTGTCTAACATCAAAGCTGACCAATAGAAAGGAATGATAACAAGGTGAACTGAAAGGATCTATTTCAAAAGAATGCAATTTGTAAAACTCCATCTGTAAAAGAAAGAGTGTGAAAAAAGACATTAAAAATCTGAAATTTGCTAAAATAATACTAATAAAAGAATAAATTATAATATAAAATCTGTAAAATAACACTTTTTAATACGGTAAAATGAAATTTAAAGAAATTAAATTGGAACTCATAAAATATGAAAAGTACATAAAAAAAAAAAAGGTTTGGTCAGGATTTGGACAGGTGTTGTTAAAAATTAAAAGCAGAGATTATTTTCCCCCATTTTAAGGTAACTAAGGTAAAAAAAAAATAATAATAATTAAATAGTTTTTAACTGTAGTCTAGTTGTAAAAAACAAAGAACGCCGGTCATTGACCAAGGCACCTCTCAGTATAACTGCCATCACTCTCTAGACTGGGTAAGGTACAAATGCAGAGGACACATTTCCCACTGGGATCAGCTTCATAGCCATGGTAGACCACTTCTTTGATTTGATTTATTTTGCTTAGGCTACTTGTAGATGTAGCCAAAGCATCTACTTTTTTTTTTGCTCTTTCAACCAAATGTTGAAAGAGCAATATCATTGCTATTACTGTTAATATATAGTAGAAATTGTATACATTCAGTAATAAAATGTCACAGGGGATGGTATGGGGGGATGGTCATATACAGTAAGGAGGGGGATGATTTTTAAGATTTTTTTGAGAAGGGGGATGCCATCCCCCCTCAACTCTAGTACTGGAGCACTGGATGAGCCTGTCAAGGTGGTGAGAAAATAAGAAAGTTGGTATGATATGTCTTTAAAGGAATATAAGGCCTTTTTCCTCTTCCTTCATCAGTAAAAATGGTTGGTCGGCCGGTCCAAATATAATAGCTCAAAAACCTTTTCAATTCAGTGTATTTATATAGCGGCAATTCACAACCATGTCATCTCAAGGCACTTTACAGAGACAATTCAACCAGATCTACAGTCAGATTGGTTCAAAAGAAAGCTGATTGCATCGACTCATTGACCTGAAAGCAATCCCTCACCCCAAGCATGCTTGTAGCGATAGTGGAGAGGAAAACTCCTTTTAACAGGAAAAAACTTCCAGCAGAACCAGTCTCAGTGTGAGTGACCATCTGCTGAGGCTGACTAGGTTTCAAGGAGACAGAAGCAGAGATACAAAAAGATTCAGAGATACAGTACAAAAGTCAACTGTCAACCAGCTCCACAGGTGACCCTGTCCAGGAAACACAAAGCTGGGCAGACGAGCTCCAAGCCAGCTCCCATGTAAGAGGATGAAAGAGAGCACAGGCAGATGGACTACACTAAAAAACAAGCCAAGCTCCAACATCTATAAACAAAGGTGTTGATTGCAGCAGCAAAGCTATCTCTCTCCAGGATAATGTCGGAGCCAAACAAGAACAGACCAGATGAAGCTACTATGATAAGAAAAAGCAGAGAGAGAAAATATTAGAGATTGAACTAACAAAGTACTGCAGAATGATGAAAAGGGCTCTGTATGTCCTCCAGCAGTCTAAGCCTATAGAACCATAACTATAGATATAAGTGAGGATAACCTGAGCCAATCTAACTATAAGCTTTATCATAAAGGAAAGTTCAAAGCCTACCCTTAAAAGAAGACAGGGTGTCTGCCTCACGGACTAAAACTGGTAGTTGGTTCCACAGGAGAGGAGCCTGATAACTAAAAGATCTGCCTCCCATTCTACTTTTAGAAATTCTAGAAACCACTAGTAAACCTGCATATTGAGAGCGAAGTGCTCTGTTAGGAACATAAGGAACATTCATATCTCTAATACAAGATGGAGCTAGGCCATTTAAGGCTTTATATGTGAGAAGGAGGAATTTAAAATCTATTCTTGATTTAACAGGAAGCCATTGAAGAGAAGCCAGGATAGGAGAGATATGATCTCTCTTTTTGGTTTTCATCAGAACTCTAGCTGCAGCCTTTTGGATCAGCTGAAAGCTTTAACTACAGTTTGTGGACTTCCTGATAGTAAAGAATTACAATAGTCCAGCCTTGACAGTCTACATAGTAAAGATAATTAGCAGTGATCCCTGTGGTACTCCACAGATAACCCTTGAGCATCATTAACGTGAACAAACTGAAATCTGTCAGACAAATAAAATTGAAACCAACCTAGGGTGGTTCCTGGCATCCCTACGAAATATTCAAGTCTTTCTTTGCTATGATCAACTGTATCAAATGCCACACTACGATCTAACAGGGCAAGTACCAATACAAGTCTGTTATATGAGGCCATGGAAATGTCATTAGTGACTTTCACAAGAGCTGTTTTAGTGCTATGATTAGCTTTAAAAGCAGATTGAAACTCTTCAAAATGTTCACTATGGTGTAAGTGGTCACACACTTGAGAAATTTATCAAACTAAGGCTACAAGGATGATGCTGTTTTATGTGTTTGCAGCCCAGCGGGACATGTTTCTGTTCTTATGGGATTTTAATTGACCTTTTGCTTCAATTTACCTTGGGATTTATTGTATTTCACCAAATGCTGCTTATATTAGATCGTTCTTCTACAGACAAAAACAACATTACTGATGATAGATTTAAAGAAGCCTACTTTGAAGTAAAATCTGAACTAGTGGGACAGTGGCCTTAGGAGCTTTATAACAACAGATATATATATATATATATATTTTTTATTGAATGATGAATCACCAATAAATGATGACTTTTGCCAAAATTGACAAATTAAATGAGATGATTCTGTTTGTGTTCAGTGCAGATTTATTTCTCCGTCTCTTCCACCAGGCATCCAACTTCTTCTGGGGTCTCTGGGCCATCCTGCAGTCCCAATACTCCTCTATTAACTTCGACTTCCAAAGGTTTGTACACATTGCAAATTTCTTTACCTCTAAGATGACCTGAAGAGTTCTGGTAGAGATCTTTCTTTCGTCAAAACAGGGTTAGTGTTCAACTGAGTGATGATATCTTTTAATATATTAGAGGATCTTCCATTCCTCTTCTGTCTGTCCTCTTCTTGTGTAAGTGCAGAAGGATTTCTGCATCTCCCTTTTCTTGTCGCCTCTCTCAGCAGACAAAATGTTTACTTGGGGAATATTCTGCTTCTCGTCACTGTTGCGCCACACATCATGATAGGATGAAAGCCAAACCTTTCATTAAGACTTTAAAAGGATGCCAAACCTAATTTCTTTTATTTTTAAATTTACAACAGCATGCATTAGGACTATTTATCTTAAACGACTCCAGGAGACATTCCTCATCACCGGCAAGCAGACAGTAAAGTTCAAGAGGGCACAATGCTTCCTTCTCCCCCTACCTTTTACCATAACGTCTCACTTTTCTTTGTGCCCCACACCAGCAACAGTTGTGATGGTGATCCTAATCACTATTGACACACGGCACCCTCCCTATGTGTGGCTTTCTCTGCCCGCTTGCTGGATCAGCAACAGGGCCCCCACCACATTTCGATCTGGGCCTCGAAGGAAATGTGATCCAGAGGGGTGCTGGGGCACAGAGGCTCTATTGTTTTAAAGCTGTCGACCCAGCCTTACTATATGTCTTGCATAGCCGTCTGTTACTTTAAGCCGCCGGCTGAAGTTGTTTTAAAGTGCATGCAGAAGGTTGGGTTACCTTTCTTCAACCGGAGGGGTTAAACTAGAATGAGCTCAGAGAGCAACAGTAACTGCAGGGAAGAAGGTCTAATCTTTGAAAGCAGCAATACTTCCCTAACCTATGTCATCCCCTAATGGATCACTCATAACTGTTTTAATTCTTTGTTCCTACCTACCTCCTAAATCTTTTTTTCAACAAGCATGACATAAATAAAACCTTGTTAGCCAGGGTTCTGTAAGGTTGTTCTTTGTACACATTTCTTTGTTTCTTATTCTATCTTCATTAAGGCTTAAATTTAGAAATGACTGGTGTGATCTCAGAGCTGATAAACATGTTGACAAGCTTGAAATAAGTTCATGTGAGCTGACTAGTGACAAGTTAAAACATGCAATGCATAAGCAGTTAGCTTTCAAACTACTGTAACTTTGGTCAGAAACTTCGATCTGTTGGGAAAGTGAGGTTTGTGCTTTTTTTTTAAGGAATTGGTTTATCTAATGCTGCTGTTCATTTCCCCAAAATCTTAGATTAATCTCACTCCCAGAAATTTGAGCTCTTGTGCTTTATAACCAAGTGAGCCATAAAAATGGTATTTGTTACTTATGTATTTATCCATCTATTCACATAGACTATCAACATTTTACTTATGACTAAGCCTGTGATTAGCTTATTTTAATGACGTACAAACTGCAAACAAGTGCAAACAAAGCCTAGTATGGGCTGGTTGTAATGTTCTAAGTATAGTGAAAATTTTGTTCTATTGTTGTTGCATTAAAAAACACATTTTGTAAATACATTTTTTATCTAAAAACACTTTTTACTGTTTTCTCATACTTGATTTTATCCAAACAAAAAATCCAATATGTTTTTCATATTCATTTTTATTTTTAAAGTTTTTGTTTTTTATTTTGTTCCAATTGAAATTACAGATTTAATACTCTATATAATAATTTCTGTTAATAAAACTGTAAAACTTCTCAATCAAACTTTAACTTTGTATTTTATCTTTTCAAGATTCATTTTTTTTGTACTTTTTTCACAGATTTGTATTTATTTACTTATTCAGATTGAGTTTTACCAATTTCATCCTTTTCAAATTGCCATTTGAACAACAAAAAATAAAAAAAAATAAAAATGTAGCTCACATACAGTACATGCCGGCCAATAGAAATTTGTCTTTGCTGCTCACTCCAATGGAAAGCTCAAAAAGTGAAGAGAATGTGATCCGAAAAACGCAAATTGAAAAAATAAAAAATAATAAAAATTTGAACTAAATACACATAAAGACAATAAGGAAAAAACATTATGGAAAAAATAAAATGTTATTTAAGGTTTTTTGTCATTGCAATTTCTTTAATTTTTCTTAAACAAAACAAATTATTTTTCTTACAACAGTGAATCAACAAACTTCAGTCTGTATACCAATGCACAGTAAAAATGTCCATCATAAGTTTCCAAGAATAACATAACCAAGAAAGTTTTTCACTTTTGGCTTGTTCTGGCAGTTTGTTGAGTCACAGTTGATAACTCTTCAGCCACATTTCTAATGGCTGTCCTAGACAATACTAGAAGTTGCTGGATGACTTTAAAAATCGGTCATGATTCGGTCCAAGCTGCAGAAGAGCGGAATTTAATTCAGTTCAAAAAAACTTTATTAATCCCAAAGGGAAATTAAATGTTGCAGTAACTCATTGTTTTTTTGTTTTTTCTTTAACCAGATGTTGTAGGTATTGATAGCTGCCGGCAGGAAGAATCTTCTGTCATGGTCTGTCTTGCACCGAGCTCTGGAGAAGCCTCTGACTGAGGACACTCAGTCGGTATTTAACAATCTGAGTAACAGGATTCTCTCCATAATATTCTTCACTTTATGGAGAATTCCTCTTTTTGAAATCCTCTCATAAAAATGTCAATATTGGCAAGATGTAAAGTTATAAAAAGCACTCTGAATGCCATTAAAACTACAATAGAACGCTATAAAATCATTTTAAACATGAATACTTTCCCTAAACCTAAACTAAATAAATATTTTTTTATACATATATAAATTCATATTTAACCAAAAGTCAGGTAGCAGAGAGATATACATGGATGAGGTCACTAAGTGACTGAGGCTGACTGTGAAATCAATTATATTCAGTTTATTTATATCTCACCAATTCACAACACATATCATCTCAAGGCACTTTACTGAGACAATAATTTGTTTATTTTTCATGCAAAAGTTTCAGAAAGCATTATGTTGCAAATTATATTTACATCCCCATCCGCAACTTTTTAGTCAACCTTGGTATTTTAAAGAGGACTTCCATACGCTGTCCAACTTACAAGAGAAGACCCTTATTTGTAGCTTTTCGGTACTACATCTTCATCATGCAAACTGCCGTTATGAACGGTCAGTTAATTGAGTTCAAGATGAAGTCCACTATATAGTCCCTGCTCTACAGTGTATAGTGATTGAGGGGTTCAGGCAGACATTCGCTCACAGCCTGTGACTCATAATTTGCCAGCCCACTAGAAGTGTTTGACCCAGTGATTGGTAAAAATTGACATTGACACACGTCCAAATGACATCTACATTTGGTTAAAAAGTGAAAGGTGAAAAGCTATAATCCTTCTACAGTTGGGCTGAAGTGGGACAGAATCAGACCGACCAAACAGATCAATTTTCAACTATTTCTGGATTAAATCAAAACTACCGTGGACCGACCTGATCTTGCCTAAACCAACATCTAAATGACGTGTGGTGTATAGGGGGACTGGATCACCTACTCTTATTCGTTGAATGTTACTGTGTTCATGTTTTTGTGTGTCTGGTGTGTATAAGAAACTTTCCGCCCAGCTCTATCCCCCTGAGTCAAATTTTTGCCGACTTCCCAACGAGTGACAGGCGTCACACAGGCCTTGTGCTCTAACCCAGTCCAGATGTAGATGTGACAATGGAGAGCCACAACGGGAATGTGAACCCGCCCTCCCTCTACCGTTCTTATTTACTTTCCTCTTATGATTTTACTCATGTGTTGAAAGTGTTTTCGAGTCAGTGGTTTAGATTTGTGGACATCCTGGCAGGCCCAGCTGTTATTTGACAAAGACATTATTATGAGGAAATGAACAAAGGAGGAGGCCCACTGTTTGGAAAGGACTCACTGCAAAATTGAAGGAATTGGGCACAAAAGCACATTGTGAAATGGAATACCTGCTTTTTATGCATCAACTAACTGTTTTACCTCACTCCCCCTAAAACGAAAAGGTTCTCAGTTTAATTTCCTAGGATGATAAATGCTGAAAGCTTCTTAGTTCTCAAGTTGATCTTAATACATTCAAGGATTAATGAAACATTTTGTAAAAGCAGCGATAAGGAACTGGGTGGGAACATATTGCACAATTATAAATCTGTTTGCATGAAAGATTAACATGACAACATGCTATGATTAGATGTTATTTAAAACTTGAGAGCTACGTCATTTCATTCTCACTAACTTAGGTTAAAGGGATAAAACTATGAATCTGTTAGGGTAGTAACAATGAAAATTTATTTATTTTTACAAACCACTTAAATAATTCACAAATAACAAGTTGATACAATAATATTTTTCAGTGAAATGTCAGTCGAGGTTTGAATAACCTACATATGGTGGCACATTTCCATATCTAACTCTAAAGACAGTTGTTACAGTCCCAGCCTTTGGCTGTTGGTGGAATAGGAGACACTAGAGAAACGAAGAGAGGTGAAGAAGAAGAGGAAGTAAACTAAAGGGGTTTGTAAGCAAGTCTGTGTTGTTTTTAATCCTTCCAAGAGGGAAAAAAAGTCCTAAAATGTTTCCATCTGGGGGCTCGTCCAGGATCGCTCCGTAAAAAGAAGGAATAAAATATAGAGCATAGCAAGAAATGGATGAAGGAAGCCGAAAGAACTTTCAGAAGGGCTTCTAAGATGGCTTCGGCTCTGGCTAATGTAGCTGCTGGAGTTTAAATGCACGCTGATGAAAGGAGCTGAAAAGTAAGCCCCAATCCCTTCCTGGTGCATAGAGGAGAGATTTGGCAGGATGATAAAGGTTTTAGTGACAAAAGGAGCATTGAGTGGCGTTGTGATGATCGGTAAGAGCATCAGATTTATAGCCAGGGTGTAGCTGCTATTAACGGGGTGCTGTGCACATACCCCGTTAATCCAACCAATACCTTTTGTTTAACAGTCAGACGGGTCCAGCTATGTATCTCCAATTTGCCCACCTGTGCAACCTGATTTCACCCAGATGAATGAAAAGCCCATATATCATGCTGTAGCACCTCAAGGCAGGATGGGGCACTATGCCCATATTTTACCCCAGCAAAATACAGCATGCAATCAGCAGCTTGGTTCCTGTCACTTTGGTCATGGGTTGAACAGCATTGGCAGCACAGAGTGCCCAACATGTAATGAGAAGATCCCAATATTGAAGCCTTGTCAGTTTGATGGAACTAGTTTGTGGAAGGGGTTCCTTTACCAGTTTGAATGCTGTGGTAAAGTTAATCACTGGACTGAATATACTAAAGCTGTTCAGTTAAAGTTCTGCCTTACTGGCTCATCTGGAGCCATTTTACAAAATAATCCCAGATCAGCTAACTGGAGCTATCAGCGGAATGTGGAGGAGGTAGAAGCTGCCTATGGGCCTTGCTCGAAACATGCTGTAGCTATTGGCATCGAACTAAGGCAGAGAGTGTGGAAAACTGGAGAAGCCCTACATGTATTAAGAGATGACATCTATGAAAAAGTCTTTATTTTTACGTCAACTGTACAGAGAAAGAGCAAGATCGTATTAGCTTAGAGATTTTCACCAATGCTCCAGGTGACCCTGATCTGATTCAAAAACTGTTAGCGAAGAGACCAATTACCCTTGCCATAACTAATTGGATAACCCAAAGGCATGATGCTACAAGGACTGCCCATGTGGTTACGCAGTTGATTCAGTAGAGTACACATAACTTTCCATCTCATGGGGCTAGACTAGCAGTGGTCCACGGAATAAAAATATGTGTCCTCCTAGACTCTTGTACCCGGAGAAATGTGCTGTCCCTGCATGACTTCAACTAATTTCCTTCTGAATTCAGACCAACCATCCAACCATGGGTCGCACAAACATTACAGGCAACTGGGACAGGAAGGCTGCCTGTGCTGGGAGAGGTGGTTCTGCCAGTGCATATTGGGAGCATGTGGTGGATGTCAACTGTATCATTGCTGATACCGATGAGAGCACAGAGATCATCTTGGGCCATCCTTTCTGCTTAGACTATGGATGCAAAGAAACAACCCTGTTAGGGGAGAATGTTCCCCAGTTGGGCTTTGACCTTGAAGTTGGCGTACATGAAGTGAGGGTGGCCTGTACCACCGTGTTGGGGCCTGGACACAAGTATGTGGTGCCTGGTCTTTCCCATACTTAATATACTACCAGTCAGACACTTATGATGAGCCCTCATCCAAAACAAACGCATAATGGTGGCCCATTTCATCGTTCAGCAGCAGTCAGCCAGCCTACCCATCAGGATTTTCAATCCAGGCACGATCCTTGTTAAGGTAAAGAAAGGAGTGGTATAGAGATGTTCACTCCAATGGCCCGAAAATTTGGCCTGCACTGGACTCGTTAAACACAACATCATGACAATGGAAGGACCTCCGGTAAGCAGCCCCACCATAAAATGTATCAACAGAAACAAGAAGCAGCAGGTGATCAGCAGGTGATTCAGAGCTTGGAGGCTGGTCTGGCCCAACCCAGTAATAGCAGCTGGTCAGAGCCAATAGTAATGGTGAAAAAGAAAGATCAAAGCTCTAGACTGTGTAGAACACAGGGCCCTGACCGAACAAATGATTAGGGATGTTTACCCACTGCGTCGGATCCAGGACACCCTCGATACCCTCTCCACTGCTAAGTTCTTCAGCACACTCGATCTGACATGTGGATAATGTCAAGTGGAGTTTAGACACCCCCGGCCAGAAGAGCCGCTACGTTCTGAACACGTAAAGAGCTTTTTAGATGGAACGTGATGCCCTTTGGACTGTGAAATGCTCCATCCACATTCCTAAGGCTCATGGACGTGTCCTGGCAGGGTTGCAGTGGGACAACTGCTTGGTTTACCTTGACAACATCACAGTTCTAGGCCGAGACACAGGATAGATGTTGGAGCGACTGGAGCATGTGTTTGCCAGGCTGTGGGCAGCTAACCTCAAGCTCAAACCTTCCCGAATGCTGCCTGTTTTGAGAGCAAGTGTTTTTTTGTGGGCCACAGAGTTTCAGCTGAAGTTGTTGCCACTGACCCTCAGAAAATTTGGCGGGTACAAGAGTGGATGATTGGACTTATTAGATAAGTATAAGTCTCTCTCTGCAAACAATAATGTAAGCATGGAATTTGTTTCACTTAGTGATAAAACAGTTATTTTGACCTGATATTAAACTGAGTTTTGTTTCCTGAAATCTCCTTTCACTCCTTGCACCTGCAAAAAAAACTGAAAAATATTAATGAACTTGGTTTTTAATGAGGTAGTTGCGAATGTTTCTCAGCAAGCAAAAATGCTGTTGTTTGTAGAAGCACATGCTAGCAACAGATTAAATCTGTCCAGAAAACAATAATGCTTTTTAAGGCTCCCCATAAATATATTTAGAAGAGTTAAAATGTTTCCTTAGTATTGGCATGATACAAATTAATTTTATTCCTCCTAATATTATTAGCTGTTTTGCTTTGCCACATGGTTAGACTCCACCAAAGCACATATCTGGCATAATCTTTAGGTTGAAGCGTCTCATTTTGGTGCAGCAGAAACAACTGAAAAAAATATTTCCAATAGACGAAGACAAGAGAGGGGCTGACTCTGAAATAATAATTAGAGCTCAGTTTTACATACAGATGCACAAGGGGAGCAGAGTGATGAAACACAAGTATCTGAAAAGCTTCTGTCTGAATTATCTTTTGTCTCACTAAAGCAGTAAAAGCGAGAAAACCGATTCGGCATTGAAGAGTTCAGTGAAAGCACTAATTAAAGGACCAACTCCTCTCTTTGCCTCCATTTTCTTTGCCTTTCAAACTTCACTTAATTTCAAAGGGGTGTACTATAATGGCCAAGGGCAACGGCGTACTCAGACATCAGATTTATTGAGACACGCTCAACAGTAAGGTAGGAACGAGCGCAAAACCACTTTTATCACCGTTAAGCTGTGCTTAGAAGCTTTCAGACTCTTCACTTTATTGAACAAAGACTCGATGCAGTTATTTATTTTATTTGCAGCTACAAACAAAGACACCTTGCCCACCATGAGCAGGAAAGAAGCACATACTGTTTGAAATTTCATATAACACACAATAAAGGACCATTACTTTGCAACTCACTTTATACCTTACACTTTCCTTTTAAATGATCCATTATTGTGCCAACTTATTGACTGATAAACAACATTACAGCTGCAGAAAAAAACCCACCTGTTAATGTTTTAGTACAGTAGCAACAGAGTAAGCAGAGTTCAATGGCACACTGAAATATAGCCTTATCTCAAATAAAACAATAGTCTAAATTTTTTATTTATTTGAACATATTTGGAAAAAAATTGGATTTTTCTTAATAAACAAAGTGGTTGATCTTCCTCATGGATAGATTGATCTGCATGTGTGGGCTGGTCTGAATTTCTGATGACCCTACAACCTTCAGGAGCAATCCCTTTTGGTTAACAGGGTTATATACATTGTTGTTTCACTTGAAACAAACCCTAAAAAAAAGAGATATAGAAAACCACTAAAAAAGCATGATGATGTCACACAGTTAGGCAGTAAATACAATAAAACATACATATACATATCGCTTACCACTGTACCTCTACATTTTTATAATTTAAAAATAATAATAAAAAAAAAAAAAGAAATAAAATATATTAAAAGAAATCGAGAACAGCAAAGTTACTCTCAAAACTTTTTTTTTTTCAGTTTAAAAGGTTAATTATTGGATTTTCTTTTAATTAAAATTTGCATTTAGAAAATGTTTTCTTTGCTTGCAACAACAATTGAAAATAGTTCAATCCATAATAACGAACCATAGACAGATTAATAAAAAATCTGTTAAAGCCTAAAAATATATATGTGAAACATGATTTTAAGATTTGTTTAAAGCTAAACTCCTCTTAATCCTTTAATTTTCTGCCCTCTTTTGTTCCCAGGTATGCCATAGCACGACTCAGTTACTACTTTGAAAAGAAAGAAGAATACTTTGGATTGTCACTGAGCCAGTTAACCAACTCAACCTCTAAATAAAGCCTTTAAAAGATCTGATCTGCATTTGAGTTTTTATTGACTCAATGTGGTACAAACTGTTGTTAAAATGTAAAGGCATGGAATCAGCCTATAAAATGCTCCCTTTGTTTGTTATTTCAGTCCATAGGGAGATTTAATGTGTTTTCCTATCACCGTGATTTATTGAATATTTATATTACCACAGTCAGTATGCCGATAAGCCTGTTTGGCAAATTGAGACAAAGCTCATGCCAGAGAAGCATTAATTGTCCCCGCAGCCAAGTTGCATAAAGCCACAAAAACTGAGCCTGGTCATAAAAGCCATAAGAGGGTTATTTGTGGGCTTATAGAGCATGTACCACAGTTCTGATGGAAAACAAGTTTTCATGTCGGCTTATTCAAAGTTGGAAGTTATTTGGAAATGTTTTTGTTTCCTCAGAGCTGTAAAGCTGTTGTTGGTGGAAAACTTTTCCAGTGTTGGATATCATGAAATTTTAACTCTGAAAATTGGTGAAGTATTAAAGCTGCTAATTTAACAGAGGGCGAATAAATCCGAGCAAACCGAAGCTTGAAATTGTTGTAAATCTATAATGTATTCTAAATCACTTGACGACAAAAGCCATTTCAAATAGTTGCATTTTTCTCATATTTGTTTTTTCACAACAACCACTTCAAGAAAAGAGAAGAAGAGTGGTAAGTTAATTTCTGTTTGCTAAGAAACTGGTATTCACACAAGGGAACTGTATCATTCAGGATTAGATTGATGCTATAATTATAGTAATTTTTCTATGTTATAAAATGATTATCATTATATCTAGTGCCAGAAAAATAACCATGAAGATATGTTTTATTGTTATGCTGTTCTGACACTATCATTTACAGAGAATAGACACCAGAGCATATTAAAAGCCAAGATTTCAAACATTAACTAACTTCCAGACGTGCACCATATCATAGCTTTTTTTAACTGAATTTGTCTCATCCTCTGTGTATCAAAGAAACTATTGTACTTTATCCCAGGTAACTTTGAATAAAAGGCTTATTTGACTGTGCCAGATTCTGTGTGAAGCACTTGCATATCACTCAAAAGACTTTTGTATAACTTTTTTCCTGTTTTAGTTTTTGCATCTAATACAATGTGATTCTATGATAATATTTTGATATCTGCATTTATTTCAACATTTTACAATGTGATTTTCATCCAGTGCAATTTAATAAACAAAACTGAAATATATTAAGTGAAAAAGAAGCATCATCATATTTCAACTTAGTAATCTGTTTTTTGCAAGCAAACTTGTTAATATTTGACCAAAGTACCCTCTAATAGATTTTATTTTGTTGACAGTTTCCGTCTGCTGATCCAATAGATTCAGGGTTTTCTGGACTCACCAATCATTTGGTTTGTTATTTTGAATTTCTCACTGTGATCTTGAAATTTTAATACAACTTTCTCTTTAGCTCTGTAGTACACACTTCATTCTCTTTAAGAAAAAGTTTATCTTTGATGAAGGTGTTCATATTTCCCCCAACATCAATAAACCCTTATTTGAAATAGGAAAAAAGTAACCATTCAGATCATGATGCTGCCATATTCTTTCAGATTGTTTTTTATGTATTTTATTTCCCTGATGTAGATATTTTATATGTTGAGAAAATAACTTTTGTAAACCTACTTCTTAGTCCAGATCATATGGAATATGCAGCCTTTCTTCACAAATATCCTATGGCACAGAAATTCCTGCAGCTCTTTCACTGCTACTTTGGTATCCAGGAAGTAACATTGCTTTTGTTTTGTTTCTTTTATGATATTTGGAGAGATTTGCAGCATGTAAACCATAAATAAATAAGCAAATATCAAGGGCATCTTAAAAATTAACCTACCAAGGTAAATGTACTTTACTATTGTACAAATTGTATTCAAGTACATCAAGTAAAGTTTCTTAATCAAAGGTTTAATTCAGTTCAAATTCAGGTAATTCATATATCACCAATTGACAATACAAAACCTCAAGGTACTTTACAGAGACAGTTCAATCAGATTATCCTGTCAGACTGTTGAATATTTTCTATCTAAGGAAAACCAGCTCATTACATCAAGTAATCCACGTGGATGAGCATGTGGTGATATATTGGCTCTACAACAATCCCTCACACTGAGTTTGCATGCAGTGACAGTGGAGAGAAAAAAATCCCTTTCAACAGAAAGAGACCTCCATCACAACCACGCTCATTTAGAGCGGCCTTCTGCCAATGATGACTAGGGGTTCACGGAGAGAGAAGCTGACACACAAGAGAAACATAGAAGTAGTGGTCTATAAATACTCTCTATGTTAGAAAAGGTAATGGTAAACTAGCATAATAATGGGCTCTGTCTGAGAGGAACAACAATGAAGTAGGTGAGCTATAACTCACTTTGCATGTAAAAGGAATAAAAAAAGCACACATCCAGTTAATAACAGTACAATCTGAGCCCATAGATATGTCTAGGAGAGAAACAGGACTAAACACCAAAAAACAGGCCCAACTATATCATCTATAACCTAATGCAGACTTGCCATAAGTCGGCCCTCGAGGGCTACAGTCCTGCAGGTTTTAGAGGTGTCCCTGCTTCAGTACAGCTGGCTTCCACTGATAGCTCATTAACAGGCTGTTGATGAACTGCAATTATCAGAATCACCTATGGTGATGCAGGGAAACCTCTAAAACCCACAGGACAGTGGCCCTTGAGGGCTGACTTTGGGTAAGTCTAATCTAAGGCGTTGATGGTGTAGGTACCAGGTCTGCTCTGGTGGTCAGATCTGCTGTTGCTGGTTCACCATAAACATACTCGATCAGGTAAAACTTCATCAGTCATTAGACATGCTACTGCTACGTTCAGACCGCACGCTGTTGAAGCAGCAGAAGCAGCTGGTTTACAAGTCAATGGTTGACAAGCATCAAAAGGTCCTGCAGCGCATCAAGAGCAGCTGGAGCAGTGCATCTTGATCCATCTAAGCAGCAGGAGCAGCGTTTCATGGGCTTCTAAGCATCTGACGCACATGACATGCTTCAAAAGCAGCAGCTGCTGGAGTTGCTGCTCGACATGCCACATCAACCAATCAGAGAAGCTGATCTGGGAGCTGGCAGACAGACACAGCACTGCTTATGCAGAGCGATATGATCACTCCTCTGAAACAGTTTATTAATGCCTAAATTAACTTAAAATGTAGACACCTGCTGGCAAAATATGTTTGCTTTTATTATTTTGTTAAGTGCAGTTTGGATCACTTATATGAAAACCACTAACATCTCCTTCCAGCCGCCACTAACAGTAGCGGGAAACCAACCCAAGAGGCAACTGGGCCAGGGGCTGTTGTTGAAGGGTATGTCCTGTTACAGCACACTGCCAGTATGCGGGAGTCTGTGCAGCTCCGACAGCAAAATAATATGTATTTAAAGGCAGGATCGTAATCTGGATGAACTGACTGCAAAGATGATATTTTAAGGTGGACTTTCTCACTTAAAAATATATTAAAACTACTTTTTACCCACTGATCATAGCAAATAAAGAAAAGCCACTCTCTGCCATTGAACACAGGAGCAGCAGAAGCATCAGACGCATGTGGACACACTTTATTGGACACGCTTAGGAGCAGCAAGGAGGCTCTCGATGTGTGTCGGACCTTAATATGAACAAGCATCAAAAATTAAGTAGCATCTTCTATTGTTTGCGGTCTGAACATAGCATTGCATGCTCACGACTAGGCACACGGACGTTACATTATGTTATTATTGTTGTCCCGGCAACCACAAGGTTTTATGTCATGGGGTAACGTTCAGCCAATTATTGACAGTAGCTGATGTTTATCTTTTTGATTTGCTCTCTTTGCTCACCATTCTAATTGGCCCGGCGGCTGATTAACGCAGATTGTTTCCACATTGCTTTGCCTGCTTATCATCAGCGCCAGATTAGTCAAGCTGTTACAGTGCTGCTCACCATTACTGGCACTTCATGTTTTGCATAGCTGAGTGAATATCTTCAAAAATAAATGGAAATGTTCAAAAGTTATATCAGCAAGATCTTTCAATTTAAGGTCCAAAATAATTGAACAAAGACGGATACCATTTCAATACAAATGTTTTTATTCCTAAGGACAAAACAGAAAACCAGTATGTGC